GAGAGTTACAAGGATATTATGACGGTTACACCTAAAATTTGGCTGAACCAAATGGTTGGGCAAATTCTTGGGTGTTACCAAGGTATTATAATGCAACCACCCTAATTAGAAAATGGCATCCCTAGTTTCCCCGTTACTTTTTTTTTTAATTTTTAATAAACGATATTATTTACAGGAAAAGAGGGGTGGCCTTAACCTCATAATGAGTTAACAATAATATGGTTCAAATTCGCATTTAACAAGAATTGAACCTAAGTCCTCTCACTTACAGGTAAAAAAGAATACCGCAAAACGTAGTACTAACAGGCAGTTTCTCCAAATACTTAACTAGTTTTGACTCGAAAACTTCATGCATTAAGTTTGCATTTGAACCGGCTCCATAGATGATAACAAGCAAACAACATTACGAGTACAAATCTGAAAGCACAAAATTCTTCACCTATTTTAGGCTAAAAAGTGTCTCTAAACTTGAAACGTATGTGACTAAACTCCGAGCAGATGAAGCATGACAGCATTCTGTGCATGCATCCGATTCTCAGCTTGTGGAAAGACGATAGAATTTGGAGCCTCAACCACCCCGTCAGTCACTTCCACCCCTCTTTCCGCTGGCAAACAATGCATGAAATAGGCCTTCGGGCCTGCTATCTTCATGAGATTTTCATCAACCTGTAGTAACAGCGCAAAATACAAGTCAAATAGATAATCAACATCGGCCACCCGATTGGACAAAGATAATAAACACCACCTATTCCATATTTTCCGCCAAATAAGGAGTAAAATGACGTCACCTAAAAAACAATGAAAAATCGAGATCTCATGACAGGTGCCAAACTCAGGCCAAAGCACTGCATGTGCTACTGCTCAAATGAATAAACTCTTTACATAGCGAGCTCACTAGCACAGAACTCGTAACGAAGTTTTTGTACACATCAACTAAAAGTTTCATCTAAACACATTAGAATTATCCAACTTCATTCTAACCACATTAGAATCTCTGTTATTCAACCTCGTTTTACTACTTCAAATGTATCGACTCCCTTATGCGGATTCATGCATGTACTTGAAATAATGCCAAATTCATACAAGGGTTTACTGTGTTGAAATCGCATGCTTTTAATACAATGTCATTGAAAAGTTTTAGATAAATATAGCATGTACCTGAAATCCTTGGAAAATTTTACGGCGAGAATCAGCCTCCTCCTTTTGCCCCATGCTAGCCCACACATCTGAGTACACAACATCGGCTCCTTTGACTGCTTCCTTTGGATCATTTGTAATCTCAATCTTGCTGATACCTGCCTGCTGTGCCTTCTCAACTGTTTTCTTATCTGGTTCAAAACCTTTTGGACAGGCACAAACGAAGTGGAAAGGAATAACAGCAGCCATCAACAACCAAGAGTGGACAACGTTGTTTCCATCTCCAACATAGACAACCTGAAATTTGCGGATAATTTAATCAAAAACTATGTTCTGAATCTAGCAGAATAAAAACTGTATTTAGCAAGCAAAACAATGGACCGACCTTAGTTCCTTCTATCCGACCAATGTGTTCGATGATAGTGAGGACATCAGCCATAATTTGACAGGGATGGTTGTAGTCTGTCAAGCCATTGACAACAGGTACAGTTGCATATTTAGCCAAATCAAGGATATCCTGCAATAAAACAGGCGGAAAAAAGAGAGGCTTTTCTAAGTACATTGCTCGAGGGGAAAAATGCACTAGTTTCCATGATAAAACTCTTAACACATGGACATAACTGCTGCCATAACAATACTCTAACCAGCCCAAAACTGAATTTAATTACACAAGCTTATCACCTTTAGTAAATTACAAACTAAGAACTCACCAGCATACCTGATGAGCAAAGACACGCGCCATAATAATGTCATTATAGCGAGACAGAACACGTGCGACATCCCGCGTTTCCTCCCGCTTACCCATTTGGATGTCATTAGGACCCAAGTATATGGCATGACCACCTAGCAAGAAAAACCCAGTCTCAAATGAAACACGTGTTCTCATGGAAGGCTTTGCAAAGATCATAGCCATTGTCTTCCCCTTAAATGGTTGAAATGACCTGTCTCCTGATTTGAGAAGTGCCTTGACCTCTGCAGCTCGATCTAACATCTTCAGAATGGTGGCTTTGTCAAAATCACTTATGTGCAAGAAATCCTTCAGTTTTGATTTTGCTGGAAAAAGAAGAAACATTAAAAGGGACAAGTCAGAAGATAAATGATTTCACCAGCCATAAGATATTGTGGCAACAATTCACCAAAATCATAAACTCTTCTCAAAATTCACCACCGTCGTCTAAGACGAAAGAATTATCCAGTTATAGTTAGGTTCTTTTTAAAGCTCCGAGATTTCAAAAATCAGTTTTCGAGAAAACCATATACAGCGAATACACTGAGACGTTTGCCTCTTTGATTAATACAATTCAACATTAGCAAAGCTCTAATCATCAACACGGTTCTAATTGCCCGATATCTAATTTTCAATCAAAAACCCTAATTTCCACAACAGCCAAATCTTCCAAACCGAAATGATATTCACTCACCAACATGCTCACATGCCTGCATTATTCAAGAACATCGCCATTTCATTACCTCCAAGAATTTCAGAAACCCTAGAATCTACTCAAGCACTTCACCATTGCAATTTGGAATTACACAAAAACAAATTCAACACACTGCCTAAACCCCGAATCCAAACGTATTAAGCGAAATAACAGAAATTAACTACTAGCTAAGCTAGTAAACAATCAGATTAAGAATCAGAGGCGAGCAGTGACCTGTTACGTTGGCGACAGACGCAGGCGAAGAAGTGACGGAGGAGGTCTGGCACGAGATTCGTCGGAGTCTCACCGGAGAAGGCAGGGAAATGCCGCCGACCACGGCGGCGGAGCATCGAGGCGATCGGCGGAGACTCTGGCCGGAGAAAGAGGAAAGTGAAGAGGAGAGAGAGGGTTTGTCTGATAGGAACGCGAGGTGAGAAGAAATCGCCGCCGCCATTAAGTTTGGTGGGAACAGTCGAGCTCAGCTAAGCGTATGTGTGGGTTTTCAGTGCTCAGGGGTTTTTCGTACAATCCGAACGGCGGAGGCCCGAAACAATCACGGGTTTTTATAGCAGGGGATTGTTATCCTACGTGTCAATTAGTGGAAGGCTTATAGCAAATTACAATTTGCCCCATAATTTGGTCTCGTATTTTAAAAATTGACCTCAACCAAACCAAGTCACCTTTTTTTTTGGGTATACTGGGAAATCTATTCCAGGCAAAGGTGCCCGAACGAACAAAAAGAGCCTGCAACGAAGCAAGCACAAAGCTAAGAAAGCAATAAACTGAACAATGCAGGGGTACGCTAACGTGGATGCTGCAACAATGCTAAAGCGTCGCCCCTTACATTGTCGATACAAAAACTTAATGAGGACAAGGTAAACCATCATTGTTCATAACATGCACCAACAAAGATGGGGTCAAATGACCCAAATAACATTGCACATCTCCGGATTACTTGCCGACGCTAGAGAATCCGCCACCATATTAGCTAATCTTAGAATTCAATACTAGCGACAGTCCTGGAATGACTCCCCCAAGTCTTTGACTTTCACCAAGATAGAGAAGGCCTTCCAACTGCCATTTTCTAATGAGTCTGATCTTGGTGTGCCATTTGTCTCATAGTGTGCTGTGTAGGTTGACTTGTTCACACATATGTGTACAATAAATAAACAGTAGAAGCCTTTCCTAGGAGAAAATTTTTAGTTGTGATATCTGTATCACAACAAATGTTGTTGGTTGAAGGTACCTGCATCTGGTGGAAATTAAATTTCTAGAGCTTTTAATTATTGATCCGCAGGTACTTGTGTCCGTTTTTCCCTCGTTTATTGCCAGAGTCACTGGGGAATTTATTCCCCTACTTTTTGGTGGGTCTTGCAGATTTACAGCTCTCCATTACGTCGCTTTCCAACAACTGGGGTAGCTACCAGAGTTATACCCCAAGGATCTGGCTTACTCGATTCAGATTTGAGAATTATTTCTGATGGGTAGGGATTTATGGTGGGTGGTAGGAAGAAATTCAACCCGGTGGAGGTATCGTTTGATATGCAGAAGGGACGGGACGAGACGGGACGGGATAGGACATGACGGTACGGAACGGAGAGGGAGCAAATATGCTCTCGGATGGAAACAAGGAAGAAGAAGAAGAAGGAGATAGAGAGATTATAATTTTGTGTTCCACGGATGTGGAACGAGTCGTTCCAGGGGGTGAGGCAGAACGAAAATTCATCCAAAACTCGTTCCGTAGAACAGCACGTTCAATCCGTTTTAGGCACACCAAACTTAGGACGGAACACCTCGTCCCACTTCATTCCATCCCGTTCCACGTACCAAACGGTAGGGGTTGGGCCCTTGGGGGGAGTTATGAGACCTGTATACACAGGGCCGGGTCAAATCCATCAGATATGAGGGTTTGAAAGAGGATTGATTGCATGTAGGACATATTTAGCTACGAAGGAAGATGGGAATCCACGTGTTCAGATGGAGGAGTTGAGGACTCGCCGTTTGGAATCCTCAAATTTTGTCAAATTATTTTGGATCATTATTTATTAAATTGATAGTATTTTTGTTATTTGATCCTTATTTGACAGATATTTTTACAAAATAACCGAAATGATTGATGGTAGATAAATTTAGAGATCACTTTTATCGAATTCAAATATCACGAACCTAAATGATGAATTTTGACAATTTCAAAGATCGTGTGCCTAAAAACCTTTTTTTAATAATAATTTGAGTCACACACTTTCTTATATTAATAGTTAATTGGAGTAACTTATTTTTGCTTACACATAGCCACATTAACATTAACTCTCATACATAAATCGAAACAGCATTTTATTTGAAGCTTTTTAACCAAATAGATCAAATCCAAGCTGGTAAATGTAAAACAATAGAGAGGTAAACCTCGACATAAAATGCAAACATTAATCACTCATCAATATTTTAACCAACTTTGACATCAACGAGGTTGCTCTCCTCAGCAGCCTCAGTTTTCTCTGCCGGAATCGGAATCGGAATCAAGCCCTTTGCCCGGCACGCATCGACAGCCCCCACAAACATGTCCTCCAAGCTGTACTTGAACTCAAACCCTATCTCCCTCAACTTCTTTGAAGAAAAATGAACTGGTTCTAAGTTGTCGTCGATGCCCTTGAACCTGCGTTGCATTAGAGTTTAGTTAGCTAACAATTATGATATGTGTAACAGTGAATTGATTAGTTAATCAATTAATCTGAAGGGTTAGGAGGGCTTAATTAATAATTACTTTGTGGGTATATTGTATTCGGGGTATTTTTCTCTGAGCATTTTTACAAGTTCGTGAATTGTAGCATCATGTGACGAACAAATGTAACGGCCTTCGGCTTTCGGATGCTCGTAAAGATAAATGTGAGAAAGGCAGAGGTCGTCCAAGTGAACATACTGGCCCTGCTTGATGATGCCATAATGTGATTCATTTCCTGCAACAATTAAGCAATTTGATGTTAATTACCCGATATGAATAATATAATTAACAATAAAATTACACAATAGTTATTTATTTTATTCTAGCGATATTCTAACTTACTTAAGATCGGCGAAAGTCCAGTGATGAGGCTTGGTGGCATGGATGGCATGAGAAATGGCCCAATCACAAGAGTTGGGATAATGGTGATGAAATCAATGTTGTTTTCTTTGGCATATTTCCATGCAGCTTGCTCAGCTAGAGTCTTGGAGACGAAGTACATCTGAACAATTTGTAGATTAAACGTAGAATCAGTATTGTGCGTGATCATTTTTTTAAAGGAAAACTAAAAAAAAAAGTATGAAAACTTTGAGTTTTAAAGGGTAAAGTGAATAATACAAGGATTGACTTTTTAATTTTTTAATGTAAAAATGTAATTTTTCGTTAAAGTGAATAGTACCGAAAAATTTTCGTTAAATTTTTTCTTTAAAGCGCTAATAACAAGTTTTTTAATAATTTGATTACGTCGACTTACCCAACCAGTCATCTTGACGGAGCGGCAAAATTCAACGTCACTCCAGTTGGACTCGTCGTAGACCGGCTTTTGATGCTCCTCCACATTCACGGTTCCTGCTGAGGATGTGAACACAAGCTTTCGAACTGTTTTTGCTTTCTGGCATGCCTTCAGGATGTCCAACAGTCCATTGATTGTGGGCTTGATCACTTCATTCTGTCAAACCATACGCAATTTAGTTTTTTTTTCTTTTTCTTTTTTTTTTATAATTTTATTCTTGTTTTAACGATAACTTTTCAATTAATTTATCTTTTAATACAAGTGACATTGTGCGACGTAGAATTAAAAAATTGTAGAATAAACATTCTACACAAGTAACACAATTTGTAAAATATACATATTAAAAAAAAAGTCTAGTGCTTCTAATATTTAATTCTCAATTATTTGCTCTGAAATGACCTCATACTTATTTAAAACAATTTTTTAATTTTTAAAATGACCTATCACATTTTATAATTTGTACGATGTGCTCTTGCAAGGAAAACTACCAAGCATTTGGGTCCCATTACTATGTCGTTTCGTGTTAATAAGCATGAAATAACAAATTATGTCCATTAACTTAGACGCGAGCATAACCACACTAATTAGAGTGGATTTGCTCCTCTTATATACCCTAATTTAAATCTTCCTAATTGCATTTGTTCAAAATCTTCCTTACTGCAATTTTAAAAGTGTTTGACCACTAACTTGTTTTGTCTAAGCCAAAATAAAATTTCCAAAAGGGACTTGGTCTGCTGCCTGATTGAATTTATTTTCTAATGCTCTAAAGCCTAATACCAGCTCCCAGCTACCATGGGCAATCTAACACCGCCATCGGCACCACCACCGGTATCACCGATTTATAATTGCAACTGTGACGAGGACAACGCTTATTCGAATACGAGAATAGTTTAGAACATGTATCGTTTTTTTACCTCGGGGTCCTTGGATTCAAAGTCCATAGGTGTAGCAACATGGAACACTCCGCTGCAGCCTTGTATGGCTTCATCAAAGCTTCCCTCATCCGCCAAGTCCGCCTTCCACAGCGTCAGGTGCGTCTCCGCCTTCGGCAAGTCCAACAGATGCTTCACCTTCTTCTGATTCGCTGTAATCCATTCATTATTAACCACAAATCATTAACTCCAAATTATATAATTCGAATACTTATGAAAACCGAAAAGTTAACAGAAATAAAAAAAAAAAACATGGGGAGGGAGGGACGTACTGGGGTCACGCACGGTGGCGCGGACGGTGTACCCGTGCTCTAGGAGTCTCATGACGAGCCAAGAGCCGATGAAACCGGACGCCCCGGTGACACAAACGGATTCGGACTCGGATCCCATATCTTGTGTGTATGTGCTTACCGAAGTATATCTCTTGAAAAATCGATGGAAAATAGGTACTTGGAATAGTTGCTCCGTGAAGGACTGGGGAAGCTTATAAAATATTTATAGTGGGGGACTGGTGGAGTGCTGCGGCCCCAGCTAACACTGGTGGCCTAACCTGCTCACGCCTGCTTTCTCTGTTTATCTCAGCTTCCAGGGCATCACGTGCTTTCCTAACGGTTGACGCACGTGCGTGGTAGTTGATTTCCTAGTTCTTGACTTCATTTGTTACCTGCTCAACTTTCTAGTTCGTGAAAACAAATTCACCCCAAAAAACAAAAGTCGTCGAACATAAAATGACACCCAAAGTCCCCCGGCATTTTGTAAATAACGCCCAAAGTCACCGGCACTTCAAAAGTAACGCCCGAAGTCCCCGGCATTTTTCAAGTCATGCAATCAAGAGTGATACTTTTGTCTAACGACAATGGGCTCGAAAACCTAATCGTTCAAGTTCAACACTAACTTAACTAAGTTAAAAATAGGAGATTTTCTACTTTATCTTAAATCAAAGTCTGATATATTTTAACTGGTCTTTTCAGCATTATGCTAATAGTATTTGTGTCATTTATAAAGTCACGCCAAGCAACTAACCTCAACTATTGTGCGTGTGGCATTAGAATTCTTGAGTGTTTTTGTCAGCAATTATCCTATTGGGTGGTACCTAACCAATTCAACACAGATACAGTCGATGGTTCCCTACCACTTCAATCAAAGTCAAAGCCCTTCATTTTCCTTCAACAACCAGTTTGGGCATGCCGATTGCCGAGCAGATAAATAGTAATGGTTATAGATAATAATAATTGTGCGCGGCGAAGATAATAGCAATAAATATATAATCATAATTTATCCATAAATATTAATGAGACTCTCTTAAATGTGGAACTTTATTTATGAACTCCCTATCATTTCACAGTTTAACGTCAATTTATGTGACAACATTATAAAATATTGTGTCAGAGACATGATGTGGCGGAGAGTCAATGAAGAGTCCCAATTTTGAAAGAGTACTTTAGCATTTCTCTAATTTAAAATACATATTTACAGCCACTTAGTACTACGGTTCAGTGATATTCCCCTTCACTTATAAGTGAGAGGTCTTATGTTCAATTCTCACCAAAAGCGAATTCGAATCACATTATTGCTAACACATTGTAAGATTAAGCCCACCCCTTTTCCCTTATTGTAAATAATATCGTTTGTTCAATTTTTTTTTTTTTTTTTTTTACAAACTATAAGAATATCTATATTAAATTGAACTAGAGGCACACTAAGTTTTTTTTTTTAGTACATCGATATTTTTACACTAAGGAAAGAGAGAGTTCGGCTAAACCACATAATGGACAACCTAATTTGGTGTCGTATTCTTCATTCACGAGATTCAAACCTAAAACTTCTTACTTCAAGTAAAGAAGAATATCATCAAACTGAAATACTGAGTGGTTCGTGGCATTCTGATTGAACTCTAAAGATTAAGGCCTATCCACCAGTACAACTGGTTTATTTAGGGAGTTTTAGTGAAAATTTTGTTGCCTAAGGGCCCATGGCGATGGACTTGGTTATTGGGCTGGACTATGTTCTCAATGAAAATATGAAACAAAACTCATACAAAATCAATCGAAGTATTATGGGCTGGCCGATCCATATAGGTAAACAGAACAGAACCATGTCCATGGGCCCAAAACTTGTATATAGAGAGGTATGCCTACGTCTTTGTCCTTGCTCTTCAGTGCTCACACACAAGATAGGCTTCTCAAATTCCAAAAATCGTAGAGCGCATATTGCTGAATTAAACGGTTGGGTGTTTCGTTTGATAATTCAAAGAAATTTAATGACCAAATGTGAACTCGAGAATCAACACGAGTATATTTTTTAGAAAGTTTTAACGAAACACTCTCGTTACTGTTCACTTTTAACTAAAAATCACATTTTTACCTTTCTCTTATATTATTCATTACATCTTTATTTGTTATTTTTCATTAAAACTATTTTTTTTTTAACTTTTTGTTAATTTTTATTATTTTTTAATATCACCGTCATAGTGATGCCATTACAAACGAACAGCTGAATCTGAGTTTCAGAATCAACATACATAATCCAACAATCACAAATGGGTCCTACAAAATCTTCAGAAATAATTCATCCCACAAAAACCTACTAAAATGACTGGAGCTCCACCGATTATCCTCTTCTTACCAATTGATATATTAAACACAAAATTCCAGATACAAAAATAATCGTCTTTAACTTTTTCCGCTCTATTTAACAAAAATATATAAATAAATAAATTGTATTTTTTTATGTGGCTACAAAAAAAAAAAGAAAAAAAATGCAAAAAAGAGTATTTCTTGAGTTCACATGCACCGCAAACAAAATATATGGCAGAAAAATATAAGAAAGGGGCAGGTTTTCACATGTATATCACAACTTCTAAGCTCTATGTTCCAACCGTGTTGTGACTTTTGTGAGTACCTATGCAATTTACTAATAAAACAAAAGAATATATATATTTTCAAGATCGTTTGGTTTACTGCATGCATTACTTGTAGCATATATGTAACGTTAATTTGTCGGTTGAGAGGGACTTGATTTCTACAAGTTTTGTATTTTTTTCTCTGTATAACTCGGTGCATGTATGTTTTACGGGCTGGTTTGGTATTGCTGTGTTTTGAAAAAAAAAAACGGTTTCTGTTGTGCTGTGAGAATAAGCTCATTTTTGCTGCTTCACATTTTCAGCTTTTTTTTACCCAAAACTGTGAAAATAAACTGTTTTTAAGTATGTACCAAACACCTTTTTGAGTTGAACTTTTTTTGATACCCACTTTTTATAAAATCATCTCACCATCAAACTAGTACTACATCTTGTGACTAAGCGAAATATGTTTTTTGACGCCATCGCATAAAAAAGCCACGAGAGAACGGAGAAAGAACGAAGTGGCAAACACGAAAGATCGAGTAAGATCCCGTCGAAAGGAAAAGCAACGGACCAAATTTTCAATTTTTCTTCTCCCTTTTCGCTTTATTCTTTGCTTTGCATTTGCTCATACCTGCATTCTCAATCAAAATATGCTTTTTGAATCTATGTTTTGTCTCTATTTACAAAGCAGACATAAAGTTTAGCTAAGTCCTAACACAATGCACCGTTATTTACACTCAAATTCGAATTTTCTTTTCCGCTACAAAAATATCTAAAATCTTATGTGATTTGCTCCGAATGAGAAGCTTCCTCGTATCGTATTGGACCCTCATCGTTTGACTGGAGGTTGAATTTCCAAAATTAAAAATCATTTCCGTCACCAATAAGGAGACACACGTGTCAGAACCTCATACAATTGACGGAGCAGGAAAGCACTTCATAGTCCTCCGTCAACAACGGTTATAGCGACGAAACGCCGCCGTGATGTCCGCTCAGTGATTTTCGAGCTTTACTGTTTTTTGGTACTGATATTTTCGCTTTTGCTTTTGGCAGGGCACCTTTAATTTTTCCATTTTTTTGTTTCCTTCATCATCACCATGATGTACGCATGAAAGGCATGGATTGTCTGCCCTTTCCCATTCTATACCATTATTATCTTCTCTTATTTATGTGATCACGATTATACCAAGTCAATATTTTATATTTTCATTATTTTTTGTCTTATTATTTTTATAAAAAAATCAATATAAAATGTTGACGTGGCTTAACCGTGATCACATAAATAGAAGGGGATATGAAGTGTATGGGATGGGGAGGACATACAATCCAGGTCAAAAAATGTAACCAAACATTAATTATAAACAAGAATTATCAGGTGTTTTACCGTTTAAAGTATTGAAGAAATTTTCGATAACCATTACTTGAAATCAAGGTTTTAAAAGACGTTAGACGCTAGTAGGGTTGCAGGTTGGGGCCTAGCACCTAGGCGGATTAAGCGTATTTAAGTAAATCTATTATATTTCGTTTAAATAAATATCTGTTTATAATTAAAAAATATATAATTTCATCATAAATTATAATATAGAATGACATATATAATGAAGCATTGGAACATAATGAAAACATGGGGACAAACATATAATGTGCGTTCATTTAAGTATGCAACAAGCCTTTTGCAATTTATTGAAGAAAAAAAATGTAAAATGAAAGTTATCTATTTTATGTCTAAGTGAGTCAAGACCTAAGCGGGTGCCTATACTGTTTTGGGCGGGTTAGGTGGGTGCCTAGGCGTTCTAGGCAGGCGCCTCAATATGTCTAAGCATCATTTCTTAATCTTCAAACGCTTAGGCATTAATCGAGGCGGTGACCACCCATCTAGTGCCTAGGGCGGCGCTATGCGGAAATTTTTAGAACAGAGCTTGAAACTTAACCTATTAGTTTTGAGATAATCGATTTCTTTTGGTACAACGATATTCGAAAAGTCGAACTCCAGACTTTAAATGTAAAACTGAATGTCCTTAACTAATTGAACTATAAATATCTTGCAAGACTATTGATTTGAAACAGAAATGATCTTTTGCCAGACGCATGTCAAGAAGATTTTCCTCGACAAACTAATTTAAGCGGTCAATCCAATTTGATGAGAAAAAATTCGCACAAAAGTGCATAGACATCACATGATTACTTTCCGACATTGCAATACAAACTCTATTCGTGAAAAAGTGGTTCAATCTATACCCACATGTGTTGTTGTGTTTCTTTCAGGCAAAGGGACAAGTGAAAGTGAGTGCCTCTCCATTTTTTCAAGGGTCACATTGTCACTTTGTATTCATTACAAATTCACACCCCATAGTACTATTTCAGCTAAATAATCATCAACCGTGGACACACCTTTATTTCATCTGGAAAAACATTTAAAGCATTTTTTTGTACTAACTCGGCCCCTTAATTTCAGTCGAAAAATACAGGTAGTGCTAAATTACTAATAAACCCAAATGGGAAACGAAGTCACTACACTACTATAAACCGCCAACAAAATTATCATAAATTCCTAAAAAGTTCCTTCCTTCCACACTGTATTTATTACAGAGAGCGAAACAGAGGAGGAGGAAAAACAAAGAAGAAAGATGAAGCATTTGGGTGTGATTTTCTTTGGGGCTCTGTTGTTCATCTTCCTGAACCATGGAGTTATAGCGGAAGATGGGTTTGTGAAGACCAGAGGAGTGCAGCTTGTTTTGAACGGAGTTCCGTACTACGGAAACGGATTCAATGCGTACTGGTTGATGTACATGGCGACTGACCCTTCTGAGAGGGAGAAAGTTTCGTCTGCCTTTCGAGAGGCTACGAAAAATGGGCTCACGATTGCAAGGACTTGGGCTTTCGCCGATGGCGGATACAGAGCTCTGCAGACCTCTCCGGGCTCCTACGATGAGAAAACTTTTCAGGTAAGCGCTTTTGATACAAGTGCTTTTATTAAAAAGCACGTCACTCCAAAGTGCTATCGGAAGCACTCCGAAGATAATCCATAAACAGTTCAATTTTTCTTCAGCCAAACATTTTTAGAAGCGTTTTTAGTTTTTAATTATCTGAAAGCGATTTTAATCAGTCTAAGAGATTTGTCTGGGACTACTTTCTCTGGGAAACACTTTTGCTCGTATGTGTCACGCTGAATGTTTTAATAAAAATTGAAGCGCTACTTGAAACTACACTAGAAAGTCGAAGTACTTTCTGAAGAAATAGTTGACAAGTGCTTCTCCAAATAGCGCTTCTAATGATCCATAAGCATTTTTTACCATTTTTTACAAACACAGTCAGAAGCGTTTTTTTATTGCCAGAAACGATTTTAGTTCTTTTCAAAAGTAATTTATGGTTATAGTTTTGGTCTGAATTTCTTTTGCTGTGTTGTTTCGGGGTTGGAAGGGGTTGGATTTTGTGATAGCTGAGGCGAAGAAGAATGGGATCAAAGTAATGCTGAGTCTGGTTAACAACTATGACGACTTTGGAGGCAAGAAACAGTACGTGGAATGGGCAAGAAGCCAAGGCCAGTCTCTATCTTCTGAAGATGATTTCTTTACCAACTCTGTTGTTAAGGGATTTTACAAAAATCATATCAAGGTGAATCAATTTGCTTAATTTGGTTTTATTTTTGGGTATTTTATATGTAAGTGCTTTTGAAAAAAGCAGTGGTTGGGTTGACTATAAATGCAAGTTAAAGATAAGATCATCAATTTATTGGTATTAGTTGGTTTGTTTTCATCTTCTCTAGTGTCGTTACCTTGATAGTGAGTAACATTTCATATTAACAATTTTACCACTTTGGCTAAGAGTAGGAAATAGTTTTCCGCATACATGAGTTCGGCCAAGTTGGTCAATACAGTGCGTCCGTTCTCTCCCTCTTGTCTCTAAGGAGATGGAGAGAGTTTAAACTTGAGACACAATGAGTAGAAAAAAATAATTAGTTTATCAGGGCAATCCACCACTTGTGTGGCGGCCCTTCTTGTTAGATTACACTAGTTTAGAATAAGTCGTCTTTGTCACAAAGATAAAATTTTTCAAAAAGTGTGTAGTTGGTTGAAATTAGGTCATAAGTCACGTTTGTTGAAATAGTAATATATTGATATGGAGGTTTTGGGATTTTTGTGTAAATATAGACTGTTCTTACGAGGATTAACACTTTGACTGGAGTTGCTTACAAAGATGAACCAACCATAATGGCTTGGGAGCTGATGAATGAGCCAAGATGCACTTCAGATCCATCTGGAAAAACCATTCAGGTATATCAAACCATCTCTTTCTTTCAATTTGTTTCTGTCTTTCTTAAGATTATGTTCCGAAGCGACGGACACTGTAGACCCGACGTTCTGCCTTTCCCAAGTATCGGAAAAGATTATCTCTTCAAATCTTACGTAGCTCAGTTTGTCAAGAACATGTCGCACATGTTATTTTTAAATATTGTTGTCTAAGAACTAATATCATGGTGGACCCCACTTTCATTTATTGAGCTAGTCTCTAGAGTAAAGTGGGGCCAGCCATTGATGAGGCCAAGTTTTTGGCTAAATTGACGGCGAGCGGAGGATTGCATAAGGAGAAATGAGGGTGAAAAGCACTAGTGTAGCTTGGGGGACATGCTTGACCTTTGCGTTTGTTTGACAGGCTTGGATAACGGAGATGGCGTCTTACTTGAAATCCATAGATGGGAATCACTTGCTAGAAGTTGGCCTTGAAGGGTTTTATGGACCATCAAATCCGAAAACGAATCCGAACTACTATCAAATCGGAACTGATTTCTTGGCGAATAATCAGATCCCTGGCATTGATTTTGCCACTGTACACTCATATCCTGATCAATGGTAAGGATCATAACACAAGTTTCTCCGAAAACTGAACATTTGAATCCCACAATTAGTATAGTTTAAAGTAGAATATCGCTTGAAAAGCTGAGTTATATTGAATGATGTGCAGGTTAAATGGGTCAAGTTATGAAGATCAGGTCTCTTTCTTGAACAGTTGGGTCAATGATCACATCCATGATGCACAAAACATCCTTAAGAAGCCAGTCCTCTTTGCTGAGTTTGGAAGGTCTTTGAAAGAGTCAGGTTATACCATAAACCAGCGTGACCGGATTTTCACTACAGTTTACTCGGGCATCTACTCTTCGGCTAGGGGTGGAGGTCCTGCTGTTGGCGGCTTGTTCTGGCAACTTCTGGCCCAAGGAATGGACTCTTTCCAAGACGGGTACGGGGTAGTGTTGAGTGAAAGCTCCTCGACAGTTGGTTTGATCGCTGAGGAATCTCAGAAGCTTATTAAGATTCGGAAGATGTATGCCAGGCTTAGAAACATCGAGAAGTGGAAGCGAGCCAGGGAAATTCGAAGGGATCAGTTCTGGTCCGGGAATAAGGTGAGTGGTACAGGAAACTGAGAAAAGGGTTTACACAGGAAACTGAGAAAAGGGTTTATGTTTTAAATCTGTCTGAGTTTCCCTCTTAGAGATGAGGTTTGTTCATCCAAGAGAGCAGGATGATAGTAAGAGTTTATTTCTTAATCTGTTTCGATATATCCCAAATATATTTCCCTAATTTGATTTATTAATCTGTATCGATAACCAATGACTGCAATGTAGTTCGTTAGAGATAAATGAAAGAGCTTTATTGATCTTATTGAGTAACTAGAATGTTTAGTTACATACATCAAAGAAACTCGTTAATTTACAGAAGCAAGCATTTCCAGCTGCAACATCAAGTTAAAGCCACATACAAAGTTCATCAAGGTACCATTCACTGTGGCTCGATCTGAGCAAGTACCTTGCAGTCCATTCAATAGATTTAGATGACAGTTCCATCTTTAATCGTCGCGTTCTTCAATACGACAGTGATTCCCGACCTTATGTAAAATCCTTCGTCTGCCCTCTCTGCTTCTTGGACTCCCTGAGAAGTCAAAGCAATTTCATCAACGTTGAAATCAGAAAGAATGCAATGATGATCAGATCTTTTCGATTCCTTACAAGTTTCAAAAGTACTTACATCGCCATTTGTGATCACCACATTTCTTCCTATCTTGGCGTTCTTGTCGATTATGCAATTCCTTCAAGAGATATGGCATGAAAGATCAGCATAAAGAGCAAGAATTCTATTCAGAACTAAACAGAAATCTGTAACTAAGAGTATTTCACCAGATTTTGGTATTCTCTCCCACACCAACTGGAACCTTTCCTTGAGCTAGCAGAGATGCAATCTCGGATTCCGTTTGGTAGTAGTCTGCACCCATCATCATAGTATCCTGAAAATCGATTTAAAATAACCAGATGTGATCAGAGCTCGTAACACCAGCATGCTTATGTTTTCAAGTGCATTCTAACTGCCGCTTGAAATATTTCATGATTGACACATTGGAATCTGGTAGCCTGTTGTTACCAATGCGTAGAAAGGGTAGCTCACCTTAAGTTCGACTCCGGACTCTAGACGTGAGCGCACACCCACAATGGAGTGTTGAACGCTACATTCTCGCAAGAAGCAACCATGAGAAATAATTGCATCCATAATCTGCAAAATTCATTTGGCCACGAGATCAGAAAAATACAGCCAATGTCACATGGTAATTTAAGCTTGCAATCATACCCTGCATTTTTCAACTTTTGTAGGTGGCAAGAATCTAGGAGAGGTGTAGAAAGGTGTCTTTGGATCGTTGAATTCAAACTTCGGAGGCTGCACGAAAGAATGTAATCAGTAACCGTTACCACATATGCACATAGGGAAAAGAAAATCTAATCGAAAAGTAGGAACGATTCAGTGCAAGTATTACCAACCTGTTCTGTGAGGGCCAAGTTTGCATCGAAGAAAGACTTTACAGTTCCAATATCCTCCCAGTAGTCATTGAATAGATATGCCTGATCATGTAAGGGCATTCCGTAACTCAGTGACTCAATTACCAAATCCAAACCAAACTTTGGGGAATTGCTTATATATTTATATTCGAAGATGAACTATAAGAAAAAAATAACTATTATCGAAAGAGCTATCTCACCTGGACGTTGTGCTCCTTCACAGCTGATGGAATAATCTCGGAGCCAAAATCATTGCAAGAAGGATAGCTCCACCTTAATAGCTTAAGTAGGACATCAGTTCTGAACACATAAACACCCATCGATGCAATATAAGGAGATTTCATAGCCTCCAGATCAGAAAGCCCCAGAACAGTGGTGTCAACTTGCTGCAGTGTGTAAACAAGACATAGACAAAAAATGAAAATAGGGGAAGGCACAAAAATACAGTAAAAAAGGGAAGAAAGCACAAAAATACAATCAAAATACGCAGTTTTAACTACCATTGCTTCTAGGTCAGGGCCTTTTGGTTTTTCAGCAAATTGGATTATACGCCCTGACTGGTCTATTTTCATGAGTCCGTAATCTGATGCCCGGCTGCAAGACAAATAAGATCCACGACAAACACAAGCACCTGTCAGTCATATTTCCAAGGTGGAACAAAAGAAGCAGAGTTTATTTTGAACATATGTCAATCTGCAAGGGACGCTTGAAACATTAGTATTAGGAAACGAAGATGTACCTTTCATCCATGGGTATACATGAAACTGTAATGTCGGCATTTGTATCAATATGTTTCTGTAAGAATTACGACCATTGATGAGACGGATTTGTGGATTTTAAAAGGTTAATAGATTAAAATTTTCCACGAGCATCAAATAAGCACCTGTATAAAGTCCAGATAGTCCATCCTATAAAGATGATCGCCGGATAATATCAGTATATGCTCCACATTTTTGTTCTTTGCATCCTGCATAGATCATCCAAAAGCAACTTCAGTCTATTTCCACCTAATATTCGAGAAATACTTGTAAATCAAAGGCACCCACCTCAAAGACCCATATAAATTGCCTGACAGCATCAGCAGTTCCTTGGAACCATCTCTTTCCAGCTTCTCCCGGTGTTTGCGTGGCAGCCAAAACCTATTGCGATTCATTGAGTATTATCATCATTAATTGCAACAATCAAACAATGTAAGTCAACATACAAATTGTAAACTGCGGAATGACAGCATCAAATATATCTATGCAGCCTTCGCGTATTGCAAAATTATCTTACCTCCACAAATCCATCTCCGAAATTCATACCATCCCCGAAATTGTAAGTACGAGCAAGGTGACGATTGAGGGAAAACGAGTTATATTGCGTTAATATGAATATCTTTTGAATGCCACTGTTAATGCAATTGCTCATTGGGATATCAATCAGCCTGTAACACCCTCCAATCGGAACCTGCAAATCACATAACGTTGCAAAATTCAACTCCAAATTCTACGTAGTACCATTCAAAAACAACAATTCCTACTCGATGCACAAAATTTCCATCGTTTTGTTTCTTTTCCAAGAAACCACTTTTCGATATGATGAACTGAAACGAATGACAAACAAATACTGATCTCTTACCGCCGGCTTGGCTCTCTTGCTGGTGAGAGGAAAGAGGCGAGTTCCGGCACCCAAAATTATAGAAGCCACATTTTTGGGGTCAGCTTTTGGAGTCTCAAACAGTGGTGCCTGAAACGTCTGAAATCAAAAGCACAAATGCCAAAAGTGATTACTCAAAAAACCCAAAACATCAAAATCCCACAGATTTCGGTTTCGAAAACAAGAACAACAATTGCACACACAGGATCAGAGACTCACCACATTCTCATTGTCGACATCTGTAAGAATGGAGTAAGCCACACCAGCAGGCTTAAGCTTCCTACCTCTGGTTTCAAATTTAGAGCTTTTCAGAAACTGGGCACTCAAATCTCTGCTCTTTGAACCCAACCTCACACCCTCCCCCAAGAACCCATTGGTCCTCAATGTCGCACAGCAGGAATCCATAGCACAGAAACGAAAAAGCTCACAACTTTCCAGAGATTCTAGTATTGTATGACCCCAAGGGTTTTTAACGCAACAGGAAAGAAAAGCACTTTTCAGATAAGCCCCACAAACATGCACAGGATCAAAAACGGAAAAGCACCAAGAAGATCAGAGGCAAAATTAGGAATTCTCGGATCGGGAAACTCGTAAATTAGAAAGAATGAGAAAACCCCAGATGCCAAAAATATGAAAACTTGAATGTAACCCTGGTCTAACGAAGGCGTGACCAAATGAGAGGTGATAAACAATGGCAAGTGGAAGAGAGTGAACGCCGGTGGCTGATGAAGGTACGTGATTTTGGTGAGTGAATGCGTGAGGGGCGTCACGGAAAAATTAAATTAAATCAAGGGATTAAATTAATGGATTTTTAAAAGTGTGGACTAGTTGGCAACTGGAAATGGTGAGTGAGAGATGCCAGTGTGATCGAGTGCGTAGGATTTCCAACTCTGTCGGCTTTTTGAAACAGTCCTCGTATCATTTGTTTATTTATGTTACATTTTGGGTTTTTTCCCAACAAAGAAAATATCTCCTTAATTATACAAGTCATACAAAGCCTACATCACTTATAGAAAAGTTTTTCCGTATGCCCGACAATTCGGTAAAACAAGTATCATAATATAATTAGTTTGAAATTTATTTTTAAATCTTTAATTAATTGTATTATAACACTTGATATATCGAATCATGTTCTTAGCACATTAAAAAAACTTCCTTTCCATAAATGATGAAGTGGCCTTTGTTAATTGGTTCGATTTATTTTGTTTCTTTTTACAAAACAATACTTTCCAAAAAAATTGTTTAAACGTAAAAAAAAAAAAAAAAAAAAAAAAAAAAAAAAAAAAGGGTTTAAAATCGAAATTGGAACTCAAGTACCGAAGACAGACACACTTCACACGCAACTGAGTTTGATTTTTCATTGTATTAACGTGGTCACGTAGGACTGATGCTAACAGGAAGCTACCATGTATGCCATTGTCATCGTCTTCTACAACTTCTCAACGGTGAGTCTGCGCATTTGTATGTTGCAATTAATGGAATATCAAATTAATGAAAATAATTGGAAAATTTTGAATGTTATTAATTTCTCCAGAAATGGACGGCTGATATTTGTGAGATAGGGAACCAACTGAGCAGTGGCACCCACCACATCCATGTGCTTGTCATTTACAACAGTATCTCCATTTTTGTCTCCTACCTCCTCCCCACCCGATATGATAAAGTGAAAGGGAACGTAAGCAGCACATGGGGGTTGCAGAAATTTCGACTTCTGGGAACTCATCCGCCCAATGGCTTGGGTTGTTTTCAATCAAAATTTAATTGCAAAGACGGAAACACATGTCATTTAACTTAGTAACGTTAATGGGGTGTGTTTAATTAGGATTTTAAATAATCTTAATTTTTTTAATGAATCTAAGAGTATTCAATCATAATTTTAAGTGATTTTCTGCAATTCAAAGTGTATTCAAATTATAATTTTAAGATAATTTATTAAAATCCTCAGGAATCCGAGTGTATTCAATTAACAATTTAAAGAAGTTTATAACATTTAAAGTGTATTTAATTAGAAATTGATTTTAAAGAATTTGAGAAAGTTGAGGAATTAGAGGGAATCGAAGAGATTTTATAATGTATTTTAAGCATCTACAATTCTCACATTTTCCCATAAGATTTTGAGGGAATTGAAT